TCGGTGGCAGCCTGGCTGCCTCACAGAGGCGTGAACTGTGAGCAGGCTGCTGCTTATGTAGCCAGGGATCGCACGCCAGGCTTGTCCCAAAAGCCCAGCGTCGAGTGAAGAACGCGAGGCGAGCGACCGCGTGCAGGACTCGGCGCCCTCCAAGCGCCCGTCGGGCACGGAGGCAGGCAAAGGCCCTCCGGCAGCGACAGCATCCATGGCCCCGGCGCCAAGCGCGGGAGAAAAGTTCGCTTCCATCCAGCATCTCCGTGGAGAAGATCAAGAGGGACAAAAATAACTGTTCTCAGGTGACTGAGCCGCTTGTACCAGGAAAAAGGCCACCAAGCAATCTTTCTGAATCCTCAGAAACTGAGCGAACGAGGCTGGGGACTGGACACTGCTCGGGACGAGGACTTTGTGCGCACGCTCAAGCAGGGTACCTCAGCCTAGCAACCAAACTGCCCGCACGTACACAAACCCATGGGACACCTAGTAAAACATTTTAAAACGTAGATGAAATTGGAGTCTTTTCCATCGGTCCCACTTCCCTTCCTGTTGCTGGCTTTGGATCATGAATTGGGACTGGACGCTTGCCCCTCCGTCGTAGGTTTGTGGTGGCCGCTGCCCTCTGCACCCCTCCGAGCTGGCAGCCCTGCTACCGAGTTGAGTAAGAAAAATGCCAAGAGCATTTTTAATCGGGGTTGGAAGTCCTAAGACTTCCCAGGAAGGCATCAGGTTTTGTTCCTTTGCGAGTGCTCATAGGAAAGCCTGGTTTCCTACGGATTTCTCTCCGGTGTAACCGGCGTTTTTAGTGAGTTACACTGCGATTCTCTGTTAATGCCCAGCTTCTCCTCACCCTGCAGCAGGGTTGTTTGCTACTGTTCTTGTCAACCCCACGCCTCCTGGGGCATTCCGTGGCAGAGAGGGGTAAAAGGCTTAAATAGGAGACTTGAGAGGTAAGTAAAATACTCGACCCCAAGCAGCAAGAAGCAGCTCTGGGCTTGGAGCTCCACTCCAAAATGTCCCCTAGGGTCAGCCTGTCCCTTTGCTAAAGCACCCTTCTGCCAGCTGGTCCCTGTGGCCAGCAGGGCTACCCGCAGGATTAATTTGCTCGCTGCTTTTGAGTGGGCAAGGTTTGGAAACCTCGCGCTGCTTCTGACGTTAAGCTGGTGATGATGGCGAACTCCTGCCCGCCTGCCTCCTGCCCGCGTAGCTGCTGCTTGCCGTGGTCCGGGAGGAGCTGAGGACCTCCGGCAGTGCTCGCCCTGGCCTCTGGGCAGCCTGGGCACTGCTGCCTCCCGGCAGTGGTTGTGGTCTCCTGCCAGCCTTTCTGCAACAATTCAAGGTTTCTTTCCTGGTGGCTTTAGCATAGGGTGTGTTTTGAATTAATTTCTCTTTCCATTTGTTGTGGAGAAAGTGAATCACATTTTCATAAAAATGGTTTTCTGGGTTGGCTTTTTCCCACCCCCCCCGGCTACTCTGGTTCATTTTGTGGCTTGTTGCTCTTTTCCCTCTTTCCTGTTGCCTTTTAGGTTGCCGGCCCCCCCTTGGCTGCAGAAGAGCAGACGACAGCCCTGCCCCAGCTCATCGCTCTGTCACCCCCAGCGCAAGGGAGCTGGACGTGCGCCAGCACTAATCCCAAGCAGTCCTGGACATGGGGTCCCCCCAGCCCGGGGTCAGAGGCAAAACTGCTTTTCTGCCAACAGTTTCTGCTTTCCTCTTCCATTGCCCAGCCAGCGACTGAGCCCGGTCAGGCAGTCTGAGCCCGATTACGAGAAGTGACATCGCAAATTCCTCTTTACGGGGAGATGCTCCCTTGGTCCCCGAGAGCAGAGCAGCCCTGATAGCTCGCCCCTCGCTTGGCCCGCCCCTGGACAGGGCAAACATCCCGGCTGGAATTGCAGTCCTGCCAGTGACTGCTGGGGGCTCCTCGGGCACCTCTTCCATCACTTTTCAATACACCTTCAAGTCACAGCCTCCAAGGATTTCACCTCTCAGAGGTCTGCACATCAGCCAAGGTTAAAGTCATCTTTTTCCAGTATTCTCAGAAAAAAAGTGCTGGATTTTGTCCACAAATGGGAAAATAATTTTTGGCTCACAGTGGCAACAGAAACAGCCTGGGTTGCTGATTTTTCCTTGTCAGGCTTTGGAAAGTCCTCTCTGAGTAGCAAAGCACTGTGAAACTCAGTCCAGAGGATCCACAATTTTTAAAATAAAACCAGCAAAATTGTTGTCTCACATCTTCATCACTGACCTGGGCGAGGAGATTGAGGGCACCCCCAGCCAGTTTGCAGATGGCACCGAGCTGGGTGGGAGTGTGGATCTGCTGGGGGGAGGAGGGCTCTGCAGGGGGACCTGGCCAGGCTGGAGCCATGGGCCCAGCCCAGTTGGGTGAGGGTCAACAAGGCCAAGGGCCGGGTCCTGCCCTGGGGTCACCACACCCCCACCCAACGCTCCAGGCGTGGGGCAGAGGGGCTGGAAAGCTGCCCGGCGGAAAAGGCCCTGGGGG